TGATACCACAGGCTCAAGTAAAAAGAAAATGTTTTGAAAATGATGATGGCAACCAATGTACAAATGTGCTTTATACAATGGATGCATGTATGGATTGTGATTAGAGCTGTATGAGTCCCCAGTAAAATGATTTAAAAGAAAAGAAAAAAGAATGATTGCTTTTGAATTCCAAATCTCAAACATTCCTTTTCAATAATACTTGTAGCCTAAAGTAAACAGTTTATTATTATGTGTAAGTTATTATATAATAATAGAGGTATTTAAGGCTTGCAAGTATTTCCATAATAAACCAACAATTTCAGGAATATATTTTGTTTCGGGTGGGTTGTCAATTATATTCTGGAAAGAACTGGGCAGGTTCATGTGGGAAGAAAATGCCTTTAAACACTTCATTAGCAAAGAAATATTTCAGGAGTAGAATCATCCTATATCAAACAACTCAAAGGATTATTTTTTTAAAAGAATGCTTTCTCTTTCCTTATTATCTCCTGTAATAACCACCAAATTATAAATCATCAAACTATATTTCATAACTAGTTATCAATTTCAACAAATAGGGTTCCAGGGGACGTTTCTCTGTGGGTATGAGAAAATATGTTGGTCTATTTGTGTTTCCTTAAAACACACACACTTTCTGAGAAAACATTATTTACAAATTAAATATACAGAACTTAAGAGAAGATAGTACTCAAACGTTAAAAAATTGAAAAGTTGTTATATGTCTTTATGATGTGCATTCTGATACTATTTGAATACCTTCATCTATTTCTATCATGAGAGTTTGGGGTTTGGGTGGTTTTTGTTTTATTATTTAACACAGTAAGCAACATTTCTTTGCACTAAATATGTCCCTGAAGATAGTAAGCTCATAGTGCTCAAAATCAGGTCAGGCTAATTTATTATTTATATGCTAGTTGTTGTCAACACTAAATAGACATGAAATACAACTTCAGAAAAGGGAGTTTTACTCTTTTTATCTTTTACTCTTTGCTGCCATAACTCCAAAAGTTTACCAGTTATAGTTAACAGTGAAACCTAAGTTTCTATATTCAGTTCTTAAACATTTATAAAATGAGATTATAGAGAACATTTTAAAAATGTACGTTATATGCAAACCATAAAAAGTTTAATATACAGCAGCTTCCTTTATAATTTCACGTGCTTTAATGCTTTACAGTTTCTAGATTTACAAAATCACAAAATTTCTTTTAATAGAAGCTTAAGCACATTGTGGAGCTGTATGTTCAACTCCAGAACCATACCAAACTTAAATAGCACACCTTCGGCACAGTGCTTTCAGAAGCAACCCATGGAAAAATCATCTGACCTTGACTGTGTGTTTCACTATGCTCCTTGAACTTAGAAAACACCTTGGACTTCTCTTTAATCAGCTATGTCCTAGGGTTTGTCTCGAAGGCATGGGGTAAGTTATAGAATGTTAATCTTCAAAAACAGACTGGAAGTCTTTAAAGCTTGCAAGTGACCATCTTCTAAGAGGAAAACATTCTGTCGCAGCCTCCACTGCCCTGAGAGAAGGTGTGTGGCTGTAACTAAGGACCGCACTGATCAGGAGCTCAAATGCAGTTCCTATCAGTGTGGGAGGCGGGGGCTGAAAGTGGTAGAACAAAATGTTCAAACATGAAAAAGACCAGACTTGACGGTCTGATAGAGACTTGTGGAACTTTCAAGATTATGGCTCATAGACACCCTTCAAGCCTTAAACGGAACCCACAGCTGGGGTGGGATAGGGGGTCACCTGACAGTTGAACAACAGGTGGGTCCATAAAGTGCATAATACTTCCAAACCAAAGTTCAGAACGTTGGAAGGTGTTGGGGAAAAAGGCAAATAATGGAAATGGGGAACACAGGAAAGAAGCGAGCAAAGTCGTGGCACACTGCGGGCAGTGCAGTCCGGGTCTCGAAACAAACCGTCAATTTCTGAGTGGAAAAGCAGGTTGTACTATAAACCTTCCTCTAAACCACAATAAAAAGCTAAAAAATAAATTAACTTTAAAATTGTTCCTGATGTCATTTTCTCTTCCATTTATCTATCAAAGGGCAACTCTATTCACATCTGTAGAAGATAATTTTATTCCATTCAATATATTGAAGTTGGTGTGTAAATCGGGTGTTTTTGAATTAGAGCTTTGGCCTGAAACAATTCCAAACTCTCACTAATAAGAATTGTTGTATCCCTCATACTAACAGTGTAATAACTCAACATATTGATCACTTTACATTCATATACAGTACTTTCATTAGGTTTATTTTACAGATGGAGCAGCTGAGACTTATTGGCCAAAGTAAAGGCCACAGAGCTATTAACTGGAGTAACTAATTCAAAGCTAAATTTTCTGATTTTAAAAGTTCACTTTATTATCATCTTAAGGATATATGTTCAAAACTTCATTCCAGATCAAACACATCATCATCTCCCCGGATCTTACAAGCCAGTGGTTTGAGATCCACTGCAGCAGCATCACACCGTCCCACCACACTGCTCCTTGTTCCTGTCCAGGCCACTGGCTGACGCCGCCCGCCATACAGTGCATGAGAGACGGTGTGGGACACCACGCAAAGAAAACAGAAAGCTCGCTCCTGCCCTTGCGAAACTTAACATTTGGAATGCCTTCACACTTGATCAGCATCTCTGGTGGCTGCCTGTGGCCGCACCGTGCAGAGTAGAACTGCTCCGCGGGACTCTCACCTTCAGACACACACAAAATTACTAACCTTCCACATGCATGGCTTTTCTCAGAACCTGAAGTTTCTTCTGTCTCTCTCGGATTCGGTCCAAAGCACTTGATATTGCGGAGGAGGTGGGCAACTCTCGTGGGTGGTACAGCGGGTCGATTTTCTGAGGCCCAAAGATATCCAAGGCTATGCTTCCGTCTGAGTACCTGGCCTCCTTTTTTCTAGGGGCAGTTGAAGTCCGCACGGTGGCTGCCTCGGGGAGGCAATGTGGGAATCTGCCAGTGTCTCCAGAAGCGGAGTCTCTATCAGTTGCGCAAAGCAAGTCCATGGACGAAGCCCAAATCTTCTTCTTGGAAACTATATCCGGGCTTGGGGGAACCTTTTTCCCTGTATGAGTTTTAAACTGGGAAGGGGAGCAGGTATTTTCAGCATCTTCGTGTCTAGAATTATTATCTGATGGAATGTCCTTGAAATAATCTTCCTCATCTTGTGTGTCTCTGATGGACAGAAATCCCATAGATTTACTAAGCCCTTTGTTAAGAAAGGTCTGCTGAGAGAATGGAAGCTTGTCTATGTCTAGCACATCAGAAGTGGAGCTTCTTCCTGGAATGATAAGAATCTATCATGTATGCACAGACTTTTTAGAAAATAAACGGGAATGTCATCTTATTGATATGACAGTGAAAGTGGTGACAATTTTCTAAGTGAAGGGTCCTAGATGAAATGGGATGCTGGTGACGGTAATGGAAAGAGATGCTATGTTGACGAAACTTTCATAGTACAATGTTGCTTTTCTAATAAAATCATTAATACTGAAATTACTTTTTTGAATTGTATTGTTTTAAATTCATGCAAGTGAACTTACTTTGTTTTAAAATGGTAAGAGTTTCTGATAGTATTCAGTTTGATAGAATATTAATATGTATAAAATGATTTTCCCTAATAGTAGAATGCCTAGTGTACCCATTTAACACTTAAAGCGCATTGGTGCACCTCTGGGCCATGTGCGGCCTGTGAAATCACCAACAGCCGCTAATGTCAGCCTCCCCAATGAGAAGCAGTTCAAGTCATCACATTACTGATGAGTTAATTAATGTTTTACCAGTATAGCCCATGAATGATGTTATCAATATTCAAAAGGCCCTTGGCAGAAAAAAAAGGTTCCCTACCTCTGATATAAAGATACTACTCAAATAATGTATTACAATCCAATATATGGCCCTGGTACATTAGGTCTTTTATATAAATATGCTTAGAGAAGAAACAGAGATTGCCATATTCTAGATGGAAAAAAAAAAGACTGGCACTTAGAAGCCTTAAGTACCAATGTATTATTATAGTTAGATAATTCCTGTTTAATGGAAACCATATGTTTCCATAACAGACCACTATGTACTAAAATAATAATTTTTACCCTAAAACTTAATGTGTCATTATTTATCAAATATAAAAAAGTGCTAATTCTTATTTATTCTTTTGTTCCTGATATGTTAAAAACCAGTCTATTTTGTTAATCAATAAAGTTAAGATACACACCAGAAATAACTGTCATAAATCAATTTTGTGACTCTATACATTAAATAATCATGGAAAAGAAATGTAAAAAAACACTATTTTTACTAGTTGATGGTCCATAAACACCGAAAATTTCCTTAAGTATATTTGTAAATGCACTTTTTTATAACTGACTTGCTGGAACTACAATATACACTAGTAACTAAAGCTCTTCCAGAAATAATATATAGCTAGTCATTCATTTCAAGAGATCAATTGCCTTTTCAATATACCAGGTTAAAATTTATAAGCTTTAATTCCATGATGAGAGGTAATTACTATAAAAAGGGTTAACTCATTTAAGAATGGCAACAAATGTTTTTAGTTGAGAATCAGATTTAAACACTGCTTATCTTCTTCTTCTTCCTCCCAAACATGGACCCATTTTACTTTATGCAAATAAGCATTAAATAGATATTGGGACATCTCATATGAAAAACACTGAGAAATATACCACGCTCTACTCAGCCAAATGACTATCATAGACTTTAGCTTCTAATCTAATAAGAAAATTGGCAAAAAGATGTCTGTCTTACAGTTATTTCAGGGGTAATTTGCATTTCTAAAACAAACCACGTTTTGACCCTCATTAATATTGTTATTAAAATAGAAAGCTTTGTTATAATCTTGAATACTGGTATAATAACACTGTGATAGGTCAGATGGTGTCTGCTGAGGCAGGGAATTGTATAATGTGGTTCTTCTAGTCAAAGTCTCTATAACTGCCACCAAACCACCTTTTTCTGCATGAGTATGGGCAAGGAGGTCAGAAAAAAAAACACCTGATAGGATTCAACTGTGAGTAATTGTTAACAGGACTGTGAGTAATTGTTAACAGGATTCATTGGATTGCCATGCTGGGTATGAGTCCGACGAGAAGCAGGAAGGGGGAGTCTCATTACCAGCAAGAGCCAGGAGTGGAGAAATGCTTCTGGACCCCTAAATCCCCGCACAGTTATCCAGATGACCACTGTGACGTTAGAGGAATGACAGAAAAGTAGCAGCAGCAACAGAACCAAGAGCCAGAGCGTGAGACAAGAGTGGTGGGTTTCCCAGCCTACAGGGCAAACCAAGTTGAGTACTTACAGTAGGAAGCCGGCTTGTGGAGTAGGGTGCCTCTGAGCACTTAACTGAGGGTGCTGGGTTTGCTAACCCATGGAGCTGTAGCTGAGTGTCTTTGGGTTGAGACTTGCCTTTGGGAATTTAGTAAGAGCCCTGGTAAAACTCTGTAACACGTACCGACTGAACAACTCTATCCTGAGCATTTCCACCTGCTTGTAACCTGTTAAACCTGCTCATCAAAATTGCTGGCTGAATTCTGTGGGGCCATTGCAATGAATTATTGAACTCAGTACCTGAAAACATAGAGAATGCCAAGTAAGATAGAACACTTGTGCCCCTCTACCCTCAAAATGTGTTGTAATCTTAGCTTCTATACTTATGATTACAATCCCATTTGGTTATCATGGTTATAACCATGATTAGTTTGGGTGAAATATAAATGATTAAACAAGCAAGTGATCAGGCAGAAATTGGGGGAGACACCAAGTCACATGAAGGTTGCCTGGGAACAGAGCTCAAATAGATAAGGAGCTTCCTCCAGAGTCAACAGAGAGAAAAAAATCCTTTCCCTAGGATTGGCACCTTGAATTTGGATTTCTAGCTTCCTAAAGGGTGAGAAGTTTCATTTGTTAAAGCTATTCATTTGTGGTATTTCTGCTACAGCAGCACTAAGTAACTAACACTTTGGTCCCCTAAAGTGCGGGTGCTGCTCTAACAAACCCATATTTGATTTAAATGCTTAACATGATGAGATTTTGGGCCTGAAATTGACTTAAGACTTTTAGGTTGATGCGATGGGATGTATGTGTTTTGCACCTAGAAATGACATACATTTTGGTGGACCAAAGAGTGGAATGGATTGAGTCCTCGTGTTGTAAATCCTAAACTCTGTAGCTCTGTCACTGTAGAATTAAGCACTGGGCTGCTAGCCACAAGGTCAGTGGTTCACACCACCAGCCCCTCCAAAAGAAAAAGATGAGGCTGTCTGCTCCTTTAACGATTTAGTCTCAGCAACTACCTAGGGCTGCTATGTCAGAATTGCCTCCATGGCAATGAGTTTTGTGATGGTTATGCTTATAGTTGAAAAGCCATGTGAGACTAGGTTGTCTTGTTGTGCTAATAAACAGGATTAATGAAGGGTGTGCCTGTCAGTCTGTTTTGAGATATAAAAGAGATAAACCAAGCAAGTGAACAGGCAGAGTTGGGAGAAGAAAAATGCCACTCCCCATGAGACACAGGAGCAAAAGCTCGGAGACAAGGACATTCCTCTAGAGCTGACAGTGAAAGCTTCCCCTACAAGTCTGTACCCTGCATTTGGACTTGTGGCCTCAATAAAGGGCTCTGGTGGTATAGTGGGTTACATGTGCTGGTCACTGCAAGGTCAGTAGTTCAAAACCATCAGTGGCTCCATGGGGAAAAGATGAGGTATTTTGCTCTCCTAGAGTTACTGTCTGTCCTATAGGGACGCTGAGCGAAAATCCACTCAATGGCAGTGTGTTTGGTTTTTTAGGTTTGGAGATGTGCTAGAGAACCCCATTTTGCAAGTGATTATGGATGGCAGTGATTGCTCAAAATCCATTTGCATGTTCCCCAAATGGATTAAGCCTCCATTGAATTCCTTCTGGTCATTAACCAAGGATGTAGATAATCTTGATCTGAGGTAGAAAGCCAAGTACATTAACTCCACCAGTCAGTCCAGGGAGGGGCAGTCTTCTCTTGGGGGCTTACCAGGATGCCTCCTTGATGGAAGTGGCCAAACTGGGACAGTCCTGGCTGTTACACAGTCATGAGCCATGCCCTATCAGTCTTGCTCTGCCCGCCTTGGTTGGAGGTGCCAAGACCAATCCTGAAAGCCTTCTAACTAACATAATGTAAGTGTCTCAATAATGGTCTCATTCCTGCTTCTGTAATCTTACCTGACCCTGTGCTGTATGGACTTGCTACCAATCATTTGTGACAGGCCCCTTGGTTCCATGCCTTATTTACCTAACTCCCCAAGTGTGAATCCTTACACCAATGGACCCCCTCATCTGGAAGATGTATCTGTCTGTGTCTTTGTCTCTTTTAAGACTTAATAAATATTCTCCTTAAACTATATTTGAGACTGGGGGCTCCTTTGTACCCTTAAGCAGAGCCCCCTAAACTGTGAGAAAAGATACTTTTTGGTTAATGACACTCATTTGTTATATTTCTGTTAGAGGAGCACTAGGTAAGACAAATATATAAGAGTGAAAAAGAATATGGAGCATACAGCTAAACCCAACCACCTGCCATCTTTTAGTGCCAAAACTATCAACAAATGTTCAAACTTATTGGAGAAAATCAAACAAAAGGGTATATCCTTGCTTCATATTCCAAGAATACAGAAGTGTCTGAAGAAAGTGCTTTCTGGCCTTTCTATGCTTAATTCCACAGATATACCCACGTCTCCAAATCTTTAACACTGTATGGTTTGCCACCCCACCCTAATACCCTCACCTGCTTTTTCCCTTATCCACCTATTCATCATTCAGCAGCCAGAATGATCCTCTAAAAATGCAAACTGTATACTGTCACTCCCTCAGGCAGTCGCTTTTCATGACATACCATTGCACTTTCAGAGCCCTGGCAGTGTTGTTGGCTAAGTGTTAGACTACTAACAAGGTTGGTGGTTTAAAACCACAAGTAGTTCTGTAGAATAAGGATGAGGCTATCTGCTCCCATAACATTGTACAGCCTTGGAAACCCTTTGCAGGGTTACCATGAGTCAGAACAGACCTGATGGCAGAGTAGACTATGGTTTGGTCCATTATTTCATATGCGTGTGACGATTTCCAACCCAGGGTTCACCTTCTAACAATGTCCTACTGTAATCTGAAAGGTTTTGACTGAGGAATTTTGGGACATTGATCACTAGGTCTTTCTTCCTTGTCTTAGTTGGACAGCTCCATTGAAACCTGTCTACCATAACCCTGTCTGAAATACCAGTCTCATAGCTTCCAGCATCA